TTAGCAATATGTCGCTTTGCGTCCGCAGACTAGATCTCAAAATGCCGCATGGTGACTGGAGTCTAAAATTGGGGTCCGTGGTCTGCAGTTGTTGTTCCGTGTCTGAAGTTGGGGTCCGGGGTTTGCAGGTGGGGTCCGGGGTCTGCACTGAGCCAGCACCAGGCGGACGGGGATGAGCCAACTGTGAGCCCGGCTGGGGAGGCAGGACGCGTGGCCGACAGCCATGTGACTCTCCCGAGGTGGTGACCAGCTTGGGGGGCAGCCTCTCTCCATCTGAAGAAGGCGGAGGGGTCCCTGGGCCCTGGGGTGATGGTGCGAGGCCATGGGTGTCATTTACATCACTCGCTCCTCACCGGCCCAGGAAGGGGGGGGGGGTAGGTAGGTGGGCAGGTAGATAGATAGATGATAGGTGATTAATAGAGGTAGATAGATGAGGGATAGACAGATGGCAGATGATTGATAGAGATAGACAGATAGACAGACAGAAGGACAGATGATAGACAACCGACCGATAGCTGATGGACAGATGGAGACAGACAGCCTGGCAGGTGTTCCTTCAGCTCAGGGACTTGGGACCCAGCTGAAGCCGTGGCTGCTTGATCGAATCTCTCTTTTAGCCTCAGGAGCAGGCGCCCTCAGCAGCCGGGCTCCTGGCGCGGAGGTTGCCGAGGGAGCAGGAAGGAAGGCAGCCCCGCGTGGCGCCCGCGCTGACAGCTGTCTGAGGCCGCCCTTTCTCCCCGCCCTCTGTCTGGGGGCTGGGGCTGGGGTGCAGTCTGCTGGGTGCCCAGGTCCAGGGCGTGAGAGGCACCTGCGTGGGCGCTTCCCGAGCCTCCTCTCCCCGCCCCTCGCCCTCCTCCGTGATGAGAGAGGGACACCTTCGTGAACTGATGTGCCCCCCGCCCCCCACGGCTCTGCCGTGGGTTAGAGCCTGTGGTTCCCGAGGTCCTGGCAGAGCCCGTCTGGACAGAGAAACAAAACAGCTCCTGACTCAGGCGGGCGCCTCCAGCCCAGCCCTGAGCCTCAGCCTGCGGTTCGGAGCAGCCCGGGCAGGTTCCGGGCTCCTCTGGGGTGGGCAGGGGAGGGGACCTCGGAGGGGGCAGAGCGGGCTGGCCCTGCTGCGGTCACACCTGGCCTTGCGGGTCACACCTGGCCCTCCCCTTCCGAGCAGCCACAGGCCGGAAGGTCTTGGGCGGGCAGGACGCAGTGACCGGCCCGGCAGCCCCTGACCTGGGCTTCGCTGCGGTGAACCCCATGTTCTCCGCATCCCCGGTCTAGACAAGAGTAACAAGAGGAGCGGGGCCTCCACTGATCACGTGCCATGTCGGGCGCCTGCGTGTCAGGCATGTCCCCGGAGTCAGGTGTGTGCCGTGTCAGGCGTGTGGCTAGAAGCTCCCAGTGCCTCCCGCTGTGACCCCACCGTCCTCCGAGGCAGTGTCATCGCTGCCACAGGACACTGCCTACGCCACACGCCGCCCCCATCCCTCTGCTGGGACAGATGGCGAAGCCGTGGCTGGCGAGACTTCCTGAGGGAGGGATAATTTTACCTCTGAGTGCCTGAGAGATGAGTCACTCACTCACTCAGTCACTCACTCACTCATCTACTCATTCACTCATTCACTCACTTATCTACTCACTTGCTCACTCATTCATTCATTCACCCACTCATCTACTCACACTCATTCATTCACTCACTCATCTACTCATTCACTCACTCACTCAGTCATTCACTTATTCATTCACTCACTCATCTACTCATTCACTCACTCATTCACTCATTCATTCATTCACTCACTCATCTACTCATTCACTCACTCATTCACTCATTCATTCACTCACTCATATACTCATTCACTTATTCATTCATCCACTCACTCATTCACTCATTCACTCTGGACCACTCCCAGCCGAGTCTTGGGGAGACAGAAAAGGGCAACAAGCTTCTTGTTTGGGACCAGGAGGCCCACACACTATGTCTGTGGCCCAGGAAGTGTGTGGTCAGGGAGGACGGGGTGGGGCTCAGAGGGAGAGGTCTCTGGAAGAGGCATCCGTTTGGGTCCAGCCAGGAAAGACAGGCAGGGAGGGGGTGGCATTCCCGATGGAGGAGCGGCTAGAGCACCGGTGTGGGGGCCGGCGTCGGGCTGGGCCGGGCCTCTAGCCGAGCGGGGCGCTGACCCGCCCTCTCACCTCGGAGTGTGGTGCGGAGGGCAGAGTCGGTCTCCTGGTCCCTGGGCCAGGCCTGGAGGGAGGAAGGGCGGGACAGAGGCCACCTGTCCCCCAGCGAGGCCACCGCCCCGCAGCTCAGGGCTCAGAAACGCACTGCCCTGGAGGCCGGCAGAGGTGCGGTCACTCTGCCCACTGCCGCGGCTGTGCGCACGGGTCCGCGTCGGCGGGACAGGTGGGGTGGGCACAGCGCGGGGGCCGCCAGAGGCAGCCTGGGAGGCCACGGCTGTGGGGAGGGCAGGGCTGAGTCAGGTGCTGGTTCTGGACGCAGCCGTGCTGGGGGCCCTGAGAACGCCCACCTCGCCTCCAGCCTCCATCTGAGCGGGGGAGGCCGAGGTCACGCCCAAGGTCCGTCCGATGCTGACCGGTCAGTGCCCAGAGCCCCGGCCCTCCGGCCTCCGCTCCTCCTCCCGCAGGAGACACGCCGCCCTCCAGGTGGCCCGTGGGAAGGCGGCGGCCCTGCCTGGGTCTGGTTCTGCCCGACAGGCGGGGCCGGAGCAGGGGCCGGAGCAGAGCCACCTGCTTCTGTCCTGCGTGGAGCCTGCCGCCTGCCACAGGCGCCGGACAGACAGCGCCTTCTCCCCACCCCATTTCCCCGAGAAAACCAAGCTTGGCTGCTGACCGCCCCCCAGAGGCGCTGCGGGGGCTGCCCCTCCCCCCACTGCCCCCGCCTCAGCTGCCCTTGGTCCGGGGAGGCCCAGTGTCTGCAGGAAGAGCCAGGGCGCGAGCGCTGTCTAGCTGAGGTCCCAGGCCGGGAGCGCGGGGACCCCGCCGGCTCACCTGCGCCTGCTCTCTTGCAGCCTGCGGCAAGCTGACGGGCATCAGTGACCCCGTGACCGTCAAGACGTCCGGCTCCAGGTTCGGGTCCTGGATGACCGACCCTCTGGCCCCCGAGGGCGACAACAGGGTGAGTGCCCCTTCGTCGGGCCTGGGGCGGGGTCGTGTGGACCAGGTGTCCTTGTGGGGCCCGCTGGTCTCCTGCCCAGGGCCTGTGCGCGCGGAGCGTGGCGCCTGGGGGGGCACCGACCGAGGGCGGCCCGAGGGTGCGGTGTGCGGAGGAAGAGACCCACCTCCTACCCGCGCCCGCCGCCCTGTGCACACGGCCCCGCCCCGCAGGCCTGGTGGGACCCGGGCGGAACCAACAACACCGGCGCTGCAAGTGGGCCTCTCGCCCAGCGCCTACCCCAGCCGTGGGCAAACTACGGCCCACGGGCCCGAATCCGGCCCGTTTGAAATGAATAAAACTAAAAAACAAAAAAGACCGTACCCTTTTATGTAATGATGTTTACTGTGAATTTATATTAGTTCACACAAACACTCCATCCATGCTTTTGTTCCGGCCCTCCGGTCCAGTTTAAGAACCCATTGTGGCCCTCGAGTCAAAAAGTTTGCCCACCCCTGCTCTGGCCGGTTTGGCTCAGTGGATAGAGCGTCGGCCCGTGGACTGAAGGGTCCCGGGTTTGATCCCGGTCAAGGGCACGTACCTCGGTTGCAGGCTTGAGCCCTGGCCCTGGCGGGGCTGGATGCAGGAGGCACTATCCTGTGTCTCTCTCCCCCTCGCTGTCTTTTTATAATTCTCACCCAAGACCCGAGGGGATTTTCCCGTCGATTGTAGAGAGAGCGGGAGAGAGAGGGAAAGACAGAGAAACATCCATGTGAGAGAAACACATCGATGGGTTGCCTCCTGCACGTGCCCCAACCAGGGCCCGGGCCGGGGAGGAGTCTGCAACCGAGGTACGTGCCCTTGATCGGAATCGAACCCCCAACCCTTTGGTCCAAAGGCTGACGCTCTATCCACTGAGCCACACTAGCCAGGGCTCCCCCTCATTTCCACTCTCTCTAACAATCAGTGGAAAACATCCTCAGGTGAGGATGAACCAAAAAGCAAAAGAAAGGGTGTGCCCTGAGGGTGTGGGAGGGGCCGTGGCATCCTTCCCTTTTCATCTTCCCCTCCCGGCTCCTCTGGTGGGAGAGGCGCTGCCTGGGGCAGAGCCGCCGGCTCCCGGCACCGCTCACCGCCCGTCTGCTCTGCCCGCAGGTGTGGTACATGGACGGCTACCACAACAACCGCTTCGTGCGCGAGTACAGGTCGCTGCAGGACTTCATGACCACGGACAACTTCACGTCGCACCGGCTGCCGCACCCCTGGTCGGGCACGGGCCAGGTGGTCTACAACGGCTCCATCTACTTCAACAAGTTCCAGAGCCACATCGTCATCCGCTTCGACCTGCGCACCGAGAGCATCCTCAAGCAGCGCAGCCTGGACTACGCCGGCTACAACAACATGTACCACTACGCCTGGGGCGGCCACTCGGACATCGACCTGATGGTGGACGAGAGCGGGCTCTGGGCCGTCTACGCCACCAACCAGAACGCCGGCAACATCGTGGTCAGCAAGCTGGACCCCGTGTCGCTGCAGGTGCTGCACACCTGGAACACCAGCTACCCCAAGCGCAGCGCCGGCGAGGCCTTCATCATCTGCGGCACGCTCTACGTCACCAACGGCTACTCGGGCGGCACCAAGGTGCACTACGCCTACCAGACCAACGCCTCCACCTACGAGTACATCGACATCCCCTTCCAGAACAAGTACTCGCACATCTCCATGCTGGACTACAACCCCAAGGACCGCGCGCTCTACGCCTGGAACAACGGCCACCAGGTCCTCTACAACGTCACCCTCTTCCACGTCATCCGCTCCGACGAGCTGTAGGGCCCCCGCCCGGAGCCAGGCCCCGGCCCCGCCCGCGTGGAGATCCCTCGAAAGCGGCTGCCAAAGTGACCCTCGCGATACCGATCACACGGATTCGGGACGCCCGGCCGCCGCGTGGCGCGGGGCATCGCGCGCGGGCACGGCCTCCGCGTCCCTCCGGCTCCGGCCGGAGGGCGACGGATTTGGGGAGAGGCCCCCCCCAACTTTGCAGCTGGAACTGCAGCCCAGGGCTCCCCTCGCCCCCCACCCCTTCAGCCCCCTTTTCGGTCACATGACATACTAGAGAAGTAAGGCGTGTCCGCGGCCAGTTCTCGCCCAGGACGGCCCGCCGTTAGGATCGCATGGACTCTCCTCAGGTCGAGGTCGGTGCCGGTGGGCGGCTCGGCGTGGCCCCCCGGGCTCCCGGTCGCGCTCGGCGTCCGGAGGCTCGACTCGGGCTCCTCTAGTGTCCCCATCCCGGCGGCTGCTCCTCGACCACGTGTCGTGTCTTAGATTCCCGTGCGAGGCCCCCGTAGCCTGTGCCCCTGTCCGTGCCCGCGGCGGCCGGGCGCGTGGCGCGTGTGGCGGTGCCCGCCGCGCCCGCCGTAGTGTGTTGTGCAGTGTGTCTTGTTCCTTGAGGTGGTCCCTGTGCGTGGTTTGAAGTGGGTGTTGTCATGCCGTAGTTTGGACCCGTAAGCGGGTGGTTCTTGTTGCTACAAAGAAAAATAATCCTCAGTGTTCGCCCTTGTAGAGAGAGAGCCAAGTTCACGGCGAGGTGGTCAGAGGGACGGCTCTCGTCCAGTCCGACCTCTGACCCGGTGACCCCTGGGGGAGGGCTCGCGGGGAGACTCCGTTTCCGGCGGGAGGGGAGTGTTCCGGGGCGCCGAGTGCGGGACGTACCGTTTTAAGTAGAAAGAGGGGAACTCTGTGCTCTCCAGTTTCCTAAGGAACAATAAACGTAGTCGGAGACTTCGTGTGGCTGCCCTTTCGTGTCTGAGGGTGTAACCGATGGTCTCCCGGCTCCTCGCAGACGCACGTGGCCCCTCAGAAGGGGGAGGGGTCCCCCCTTCTGGGAGTTGACAGTGGACACGTTCCCTTTGGGTCTCTGACCACCCGTACCCCCAAAATCCAGAGCCGAGCAATCATCTCGGAGCTCCCCTCCCCCCGTGGTTGAGCGGGAACCAAGGCTCCCCCCCGGGACCCCCACCCTCACCCACCCCCCGCCTGCCAGGCTCCCCCAGGGCTCAGCGGGAAGGAGTCGGGACAGGCGCTCCCTGTACGCATGGCCGGCGCACCGGCAGGCCTGTCAGCGGGTGCAGGGGACCCAGGCCCTCCCTCGCTGGCCAGGGGCTCCCCAGGGGCTGTGTGGGTCCGGGGGGGCAGCAGCCGGCCCGTCTGGGGTCTGCCCCCCGCCATGGCCGTCCTGTCGATGCCGAGCAGGGCCCGGGCTGAGCAGGCCCTGAGGGTTCTGAGGGGCCTGTGGAGGGTGTGGAGGGGGGGTCCTGTGCCCGCGGAGCCGGAGCCGGTCAGGGAGCGGGCGGCTAGGTGCGGGGCCATACAGGCTCAGCCCCGGGGCGTGGGGAGGGGGGGCCTTGGGACCCGCCCTGCCCCGTAGTCGGGAAGTTGCGGATGGAAATAGAGCAGAGGTTCCTAGGCTCCCCCCACCCTGCCACCCGCACCCACCACCCCGCACAACCATCTGCTGGGCAAGGAGCCCCCACAGAAGGAAGGCTGCCCAGCCGGCGTGGCTGGTGGTCGAGTGTCGCACCCGAGTGGGACCAGCCGCAGTGACACGGGGAGGGGAGGTGCCTCTCCCACTTCCTGTTCACAAACCATAGCGGGACGCCCAGAGATCCTCCCTCTGAGACGGAGCTGGGGTTCCCAGGAGCCCGGGTTCCACTCACACGGTCCCGAGGCCCCGCCCGCCCTGTGACGGGCCCTGTCTGGCGCCACTGGTGGGTGATCTTGTCACAAGCACCACAGTCACGCCCGGCGCCTTCGTCATTCCCCCCAACGACGACGGAGGGAGACACAACGCACAGACTCCCGCTCTGAGTCCCCGGAGAGAGAGGAGCGGCCGGTGGCCCGGGAGGGCTTCCCCGTCTCGGGCGGGGCGTGTGCGAGGGAATATCCCCAGGATATTGAACACGCAGGGAAATGGTCCCCCGCGAGCAGACAGAGCAGCCGCCACCCCTGAGTCTCCCCGGCTCCAGGAACGGGTGTGTCGGCTGATGGCGGGACGCCTGTGGGTGCATTTTTTTTATTAAAAGTTTGGCCCGGAATCCAACCCTCAGCCCTTCTGGGTGCTCGGGGGCCAGCGGGGTTCTCAGCTCTGGAGCAGCCGGGCCTCGGGGTGTCCTCACTTCCCCAGGCAGCCGGGCGGGTGCCCCCCACAGGTGCCTGCGGTCCCCCTCCGGCTCCCGGCGCGCCCCCACGCCGAGTGGACTGTGTGGGAGGCCCAGCTCGTCCGAGGGGCGGGGAGGAGGCCACTGCCTGGCGGATGGTCACCTCTGGGCCGGGGAGTCCAGCCACCAGGCACGAGCCAGGCTCCTCCCGAGGGAAGGGAGCGGCCAGGGCTCATCTCCGACAGCGGCCACGCCTGACTCCACTCCACGCGAAGGTGCAGCGGGAGCCGCGGAGCCACGTGGGCGCCGCCCAGTCCCTCCGACTCCTGCTCCGCAGGGGCCCGGCTTCCTGCCCTCAGGTGGGGACTCTCCCAGGGGCCGAGCTCCCACCCGAGAAAGAGGGTCCATGTCCGCGGGCTGAGAGGCCGACGTGGAGATGGGCCAGAACCATCCTGGTCCCATTGCCGCCTCGGGGTCAGGCTGTGTCGCTGGAGCAGCCCTTTCGGCACACGGCGGGCTTGGCTGTGGGGCTGCGCAGGCCCGCGACTGGCTCTCACCCGCTGTCTCCCTCGGCTCCTCCGCGGCGAGGGCGCCATGACGCCCCCCCCCCCCCGGTTTGGGGTGAGGCGTCTCTGCTCTGACCAAGTGTGGAGGCCCCAAGACTCCGGACTCACACGGGGAGGGCCCGTCCCCCGAGGCAGTGTTGGGGGGGTCCCTGGTGCCGAATTCCCCCCATTTCACGATGTCACACACGGAGTCCGCGCAGCTGGCCCCTGGTCAGCGCCGGCCGGCCCTGCACCCGCTGCTCTCCCCGCCCTCGCGGTCCCTGGCACACACGGCGGGCGCTCCAGCTGGTGAGTCACCGGACGCTTATTCATCACACGGCAGGCGGCGGAAGGTGCTAGAACGGTGAGCCCGGCAAGGATCTGGCTCGTCCTCCAGCCCCGGGCTGGTGAGTCACGGATGCGGCCGCTGAGGGGAAGCGGGGGAAGCGGGGCCCGGCCAGGGGAGGCCGAGGGCTGGCGTCCGCTCCTGCCCCACCTGGGCGGGGCGCCAACGGATAGGGGGCTCCCCTTTGCCAGAGTGCCCTCCATCCTGCTGCCCCGCCCGTGCACACACATACATGTGTACAATCAACAACACACATGCACACGTGTGTACCCATGAACACACGTGCACACACACACACACACACACACACACACCCCGGCTGATTCTAAGCCCGACCGGGTGCCCAGCAGCGGCAGGTGGACAGGGGCCGCGCGTCCCAGCCTCCTCCCACCTGGCCCGGGCCCCAGGCCTCCCAGGCCCCCGCCCAGCCCGCACCGTGTCATCGCGGGAGGGAGGGCACGGTCACGCGTGATGTCCCATCTGCCTCCGCAGTCCACCCCCACCGGGGCCTGGGCGTCCTCCCGGCCTGGGCCTGCGGGAGGGGCACTGGGGCACTTGGCGATGCTGGGGGTGCCCCAATCTTGGGGGGGTGGTCGCCAGGCTTCCCGTGGGCCGGCTCCGGGAGTCCAGCCTGGGCTGAGCGCCTGTGCCCTCTCCACCGCCCCTGCTGCGCGGAGCCTGCGTCTCGGGCAGGTGACCCGCGGCCCTGCTTCCCTCTCAGAGCCCTGCCGTCCGCCCTCCATGGTGAGGACGGCCCAGCGGCTGGTTCGCCCGCACAGGCCAGCACAGCCGGGGAGGGGGGCGGGGGGCCTGCTGAGTGGCACCGCGGTCGCAACTGTCTGCTGTCTGGCCAGCTGCCAGGACGGCAGGTCGGTCAGCTCCCCCGCATCTCCCCCCCACCCTCCCCCCCACCCCCACCCCGCGTGTCTTCCTCGCAGCCAGGCTGAGAGGGAGGGCGGCCCCAGCAGCTGACGGACGCTGTGAACAGAAACAGTGATTTCCTCATTGATCTCCGCCGCCGCGAAGGGCTTGAAATAAGGTCGCGGAGAGCATGTTGCCGGTTCTGCGCTGTTTCATTTCGCTGATTGAATTCCCAGCTATTCCCTGGAGGACCCTCTGCAGCCTCCACTGCGAGGCATCGACGGCGCTCGCCCCCACCCTCCCCCCACCAAAGCCCTTGCTGTGCCAGTGACAGGAGCGCAGCCCCATGGCTGTCCCCCGCAGCAGCAACACGACATGGTGCCCGCTGCCCGGCCCCCAGCCCCCTCCCCCTGCAGCGTCTCCTCCATCAGCTGCCGGCGGCTGCGTGTCCCTGTGCTGGCGCCACTGTCCAGCTAAATTGGCCGTGAGAGCCCGTAATGAAGAAGAAGGACCGGCTGCGTCCCCCGTCGCAGGAGCTGCGCTGACCCCGGGCAGAGCCCGGGGGGGTGGGGGGGAGGCAGGGGGGAGACGCCCAATTACAGCTTCGAGCTGCTAGGCTCGGCCTGGCCTGCAATGCGTGCGGCTTCAGGGACGGCGGTGGCTACAGCCCGAGAGCGTCCCCTCCTTCCTCCCAAAGGCTGTCCACCCTCTGACTGGTCCCTGGACCCGCGGGATAGCTGCCCTGGGTGGCGCCCCGCAATGCAGTTCTGCAGACGTACACGGTTCTCCCAGCTCCTGAAGGGCACAGCCCCCGGCCCTGGGCGTCCACTTCGTGAAGGGCACAGCCCCCGGCCCTGGGCGTCCACTCTGTGAAGGGCATGGCCCCTGGCTCTGGGCGTCCCTCTGTGAAGGGCACAGCCCCCAGCCCTGGGCGTCCACTCCGTGAAGGGCACAGCCCCCAGCCCTGGGCGTCCACTCTGTGAAGGGCACAGCCCCCGGCCCT